CGGTCGCTACCAATGAGTTACCAACACCAAACCGCTTTCGACTGAATGAAAATTGATCGTTCGTTCCATGAAAACTGTTTGCTGTTGAAAAAATGTTTTGTTCATCATCACAAATGTAAGTGTATAGGTAATGGTTTTTTGGCAACTAACAGTTTTATATGAAAGAGTCATCGATGCTCTAACATTCTAACATGGTTTGATCGTGAAATTTTGTTTAGAGTGACCGCGCCAAAATAATCAAGTTGTGAATCCGAATAAATCGCATTTGGTTTACTATCGATATAATATGAAGATTTGTATGATCGGCGCGGTCGTCACGAGCAAATTACCAATACCAAACCACTTTTAAATAGAAGAGCATCGATGGCTCTTCTGTTTCAAACTGTTAGTTGGTGGTAAATGTTAGCTGCCATAAAAAAAAATGGTACAGATAAAAAAAATGAAAGACAGATGTTTTCATGTTTTTTATGATTTATTATCATCAATGTTTAGTGGGTTTTTTTTTGATGAAAATTTTATTTTTCACCGCGGATGCGGCGTGCCAAGTCGATGTCCTTTGGCGTTATTGTGACGCGTTTTGCGTGGGTGGCGCACAAATTAGCGTCTTCGAATATTCCGGTTGCAAAATTTTCTGCAGCCTCCTGTGCGAGAAAAGAGAAAATACAACCAAAATTGATTTGCATTTTTTCTATTCTCAAACAGTAAAGTAAAAAAGTGAAATTGCACGAATTACTTACTTGCAATGCGGCCATTGCACCAACTTCAACGCGATATTGGATATTTGGTGAAACTTGTTGAATGATTTCACGCACCAAACGTTGAAACGGCAACTTTGGAATGAGCAATTCAGTGCTGCGCTGATAACGGCGAATTTCGCGGAGAGCCACTGTTCCAGGACGGTAGCGATGTGGACGTTTTTGTTGTGGTTGTTGTTGGTTTGGCCTTGGTTTTCCCATGGTTTTGTGTGGCGTTTGCTTTACGCGTGCCATGATTGCACCAAATTTGTGCAGTTTCACTTTTTTATTTTTGCACTGAGAACAGAGTGAGGTTTTTAATGTAACTCTTTTGGCTGTCCCAAATGAACTGATCATTCTAAATGACCAACTTTGATTTCCAGTGAAGCATTCCATACGCATGTTATTCGCACAGTGAAAAATATTTACAATAAATGAAGAATTGCGGCGACTAGAACAGTAATTAGATAAACGTGAACTTAACCAAAATACAGCGGACAAAATATTTACAGTGAAAAGTGCATAGTAAGCATCGCCGTTCGATCGAAAAGTGACGAAAATATTTATGCCAACAAAGAGCATAGAACGAACGATATGAATATTTACCGATTTAAAAACATTTGAGCAAACAGTGAATGAAAGTACAGTGGACAAAATATTTAACAGTGAAAAAGTGCAAAATACAGCGGACAAAATATTTACAGTGAAAAGTGCATAGTAAGCATCGCCGTTCGATCGAAAAAGTGACGAAAATATTTATATGGATGTCCAGAGATTTTTGAATATCCAAAGAAACAGCGCTAACGGCGGTTTCGATGCAATTGAATATGTTTACAATGAAATTGAACGGTTGGCAAATGTAACCAAGACGATTATTTATTCTGGTAGTCATGAGTACACATTTTTTGTGAATGAACAAACTCGAACCGCCGTATACGCAAAATGCGTAATGCAAAAAAGTAGGTGAACTTTAGCAGAAAGTATACATTAAGGCTATTGTATTTCAAACGATGTGTGCTTTTCTTTATTTTCAGGTCGCAGTAGCGGAATATATCAACACGATGCTCACGGACGTGTGGTAACTAGTGCCGTTGGAACACATGCAGTGCGGGCATTTTTTAGCCGATACAACGATCATACGTTGACAATTATAGTAGGTAAGTATTTTTTCATTTTGTTTTGTTAGTATTTAGATATTATTTTTATTTTTTTGTTTTCAGCTAACGATGAAAACGAGACGTGTATTTTCATACGCCGGCCTAGAAGATCGTACGAGTTCATCTTGTTTAATCCGAGACGGAACAAACACTTTCGAATGGGTGATAATTTCATGCGTTCGTTATCCAAATCATCAACGCTGCAATCTCGTGCGTTTCACCCGGTGCACCACACAAATCAACATGTCGTTGCAACCTGGCAACAGATATATAATTTTATAAAAAATAATGAAAATTCTCCCTTCTCCCATCAAGATTTACGTCGATATAATTCCAATAACCGACATTATTAATGAGATGCATTTTGTTTTATATAGGTTTAAAAAAACAATAGATTTATTAATGCAATGTAAATATGACAAAAGGACAATAAAAATGCGTTTTTCTTTTTAAAACTAAAAAACTGGATTTAACTTCAAAAAAATTAAAACATAAATGAATTTCTCTCTTCGCTTTTTTCTGTTTATCAACTTACAATTTCAAATGAAAGGAGAATTATTGTGTGTTTAATTAAAAGTGGTTTGGTGATGCTATGTTATTTATAACCACCGCGCCAGACTTAATAATTATAATCAAAATTACAAAGACAATTGTGATTAATACTATGAATGCTATTCTGGAGTTGAAAATACGCAAGATACTTCAATGGATACACTTCCGTTGGCAATGTTTTTTTACCTTGAAAATCTGTCATTTCATTTGACAATCGATTTAAATATTTTTCAAATCGTGCTTTTGCTTTGGTGTCATCGTTATTGTCATTTTTATTTAAAAACGGATTTTTATCATATGGCCATTTTATTAACAACATTATGCGTTGTTCTTTTGTATACATGGCTCTTCTTGCAACATCTTTGCTTATAAGTAGCCTTTTCTCTTTATATTCATTACAACGTAAACTTGGCACGATTTCTTCAAAGTCCGCGACTTTACCCATTTTTCTTAAAAATTCATCTTGTTCATCGTGTTCCCATTTGTCAATATATTTACGTGCATTTGGAATTTCATTGATTTGTTCAACACCATAGAAATGTTCCAATATATATTTACGCAAATGGAAACCCTTTGCATGTTTGAATGCAAGCGCATATCTGCAGATTGGCAAGTCAAAACCAGAGATCAATTTCAAAATGGTATATTCATTCAATTCCAAATGTGTTTTGTAAAATATGATTCGTGGTAAATGTTTATATTTTGCCAACCAGTGTGCAACAATGGGTAATTCGGGATTAAGTTTGTATACCCTGTAGATTTTTATAAATGTTGAATTGCGATTTTGAAAAATGATCTTTGGATTTGGTAGCATATAGAATGATGAATTTCTGAGGTTTGGTACATTACTGTTTTGGTGACCTTCGCTTTGCGGAATCCATACACGCCTATTTCTATGATTTGGAAAATCAATAGTTGCAGAAGGAGCATTCATGAATGCAATGTAGCACAAAAGATCTACATCAAATTCAATGAAAATATCCAAATTGCTGAAATCGGTAGTTAAATTTAACATGTAGCTGAGGCTTCCACCACCGAGAAATGCATTTGCACGACGAGGCCAAAATACTTCTTCTTGATTGAGTTGTCGTCCTCCATTCATCCTCTCTTTCATATCTTTGAAAAACGTACGCTCAACTGGGTCAGCTAGCATTTTGTTATCTGGAAAACGGTGTATACTTGTATAGTGCGGGAAATACAATTCAACCGCTGGCACTCTTTTAACACCACCGAAAATATCGAATAGGAATGTTAATGGTAGCACGAAACGAAATGGTCGCAAATAATACACCACTTTTGTCATTAGCTCTTGCGATGGTTGTACGATATTCTCTTTGAGCAAAGACATGCAGTCCATACTGTTCAATAATGCAGGGCGGCAACGAAACTTCGGTGGTGGAAATTCTTCGTTAGAATTTTCCAAAGTGTACCATGTGAGTTCATAATAACCAAGGCGCCAATATTCAGGGGGAAGTTTATTTATGTTTTGGCTAGGACCAAAATCAAATAGCGGCAACGACTTTATTTTGACTGGTATCTTTCGTATGTCGTCTGGATTATTAGAACATGGATACAAAACTGGCAATGGCAGCAGCACATCTTTGAGTTCGCGTCTAGTGTTAGTTAACAAATTGTACAGCATTATCAGTTGTCGACGTAGATATGCCTCGAAACAAATAGCCAACGAACGTCGGTATTTTGCATTGTCAATAGGATCAATCATAAGATCAGGATCATCTTCGTCGTAGTAATCCATTTGAACACGATATCGCCTTGGTGTCCATTGATGCTTAGTAATCCATTGTCTCTCGTTTGTGAGAAGCTGTTCGGGTGTGTGTTGCAATGCGTAGAGATTGTTGGTGTATGCACGCAGTTCGGATGGAATTTTTAAGTTTACAGCACGTGTAATTCTCGAAGAATCGTGATACAATTCACGAAGTAATTCAGGTCCACAAATAAATTGATACATTGTTATCAACACTTGATTCTGAATTTTACTTTCGTTTTTAGTCAATGAGAACAACTTTGTGATTTTAGTTCTTGAAGAAATTTGAATAAATATTCTTTGCTTTCACTTCGACAGTTCGATACAGAATGAATTCATGATTGCAAGGACCGATTCCAATACTTACATTTTCAGAAAAGTTGTTGATCGGTTTTCAAAAGTGCTAAAGCTGCAAAACTATAAAATTGTCATAACAAAAACAGAGCGATTATGTTTTTGGAACATAAACAGCAGACTATTTATTTAAATCATGAACGTGTGTATACAAAAAGACAGTCATGAATTTTTGCGTAGTTGTTTTTGCGATTTTTTTGTATCAATGCATGTATAGTGTTGGAAAAATACAGCGATTACAAATGAAAAAGTAAATTTCGCAAATTTTTACATGATTTTTTGTAATTGCTGTTGTTTTTGTGCTGGGCACTGCTTATTTTTTGTTCTTTTTTGCGGTGGTGCTGGAAGTTCCAGAACAGCCTTTGGATCCAGTGTTGGATTTGCGGCCACCATTGTGTTTGTTGTTCTTGGTGTTCGGTTTGGTGACCATATCAACATCACCATCATCGTCGTCATCATCGTTGTCATCATCGTCTTTGGCATTGTTGATGGCATCGGGATCATGCATTTCGAATGTAAAGTTCAATTTGTGCGGTGGACGTTCATCTTTGCCTTCGAACACGAAGTCGTAATGATCTTTGTTCAGCTTGGCAATTGCTTTTTCCGTGTTGAATTTCTTGTACATTTTTTCCGGCAAAAAGATCCAGCCATCATCAATATCAATCACCACACGCATTCCAAACTTCGATTCGCGAAGGGAAAACTTGTAAATTTCGTATCTTCCCGGCTCCAGATCTTCCAAGCGAATGTAGTTGCTGCCGGAAGCTGCAGTTTCCTTGAGAATCGACAGCATTTCGTTGCACGTTTTCACTTTGCAAATCCTTTCACAAATACTTGTTTTTCGTTTCGGTTTTTTAAAATTGAGTAGACCGATGTTTTTACTTTCAAGTCTGAATTCAATCTAAAGAAATGTATGGGTTTTGACTCCTATATATACTTACAAAAATACTGCGGAAATGATTCATTGGGTATTTCGCAATATTTTCTTTCAGGCCAAAAAAACGCTTTCGTGCAAATTTCGGTTTTAAAGCTGTGTGATTTTTATTTATTTTTTATTTACAACTAATGTATACAATTACTTTTGCTTTTGTTTTTGAATATACCAATCGTTTAAAATCAAAACATTTTCCATTGCGCAGTGACATTTCGGATTTTTTTTATTCTTCA